ATGTGATGTGGGGCCCAGCAAATCCAAGTTCCAATGGAAGCCCTGCTGCTGCTGCCGCCTGCCGTCTGCAGGCCCGAGTTAGAGGCTGAGGCCCTCTATGTCTCAGCTTTTGTGTTTATAAAGTATGGTTAATTCTTCATGGAGCTGATGGGAGGATTAAACACAATGGCCTATGGCAAGCAGGAGTGGGCCCAACAAATCGGAGTTTCCTTTATCCAAGCAACTGAAATCCCTCCCAGGAAGAGAAGCCTGTGGAGCCTGTCGGGGGAGGGTCACAGCATTCACTGTGGGGTGAACAATGCATCTGCTGGTTCCTGGGGAGAGGCCTTCTGCTGCAGCTGTTGCCCCAGCTGACCTACAGGGTGATGTTTGCAGCGAGGCTGTTTGAGCACAGCATGGCCTGAGCCCTGGATCTACAATCCAATCCTGACGACACCTGTTTTCTCCACACTGGCTCTCCAGCTCCTCCTGGACCCTCAGCCTCTCAGCCAGGGGAGGAAGACGAGGATTGGGTGGAGCAGTCACTACAAAATCCTTCTAAGGAAACACATTATTCTTTAAAAAGTTATTTGCCTATGATTATTGGGTGTGTGAATGTTATGTGTTGGGGAGGTATGCACCCCATGGTGGGTGTATGAGGGTGCAAGCATGTAAGCATGTGTGCGTGCATGCATGTGTGTATATGTGTGTGTGCGTGTATGCATGTATGTGTGTGTACGTGTGTGCATGTGCGCATGCACACATGCATAGATCTCAGGACAACTTTGTGGGATCAGTTCTATCCTGTCATTTTTTACTGCATTCTAAGGATTAAACTCAGGTCATTGGGTTTGTATAGCAGACACCCCTCTACCCATTAAGACATTTTTCAGGCCCCCATTAATCTTAAGAATGCTTTTGTATTATAGAAAAAAGACTTTTTACTGTTTGTGACCTGCTCTCAGGAGCAGGAGTTTCAGCCTCAGCTTGCCGTCACCTGAACAAGTTCTGGGGTGTCCTGCTCTGGTAGGATTTGAGTATTTGGTCACTGGCAAGGTCACCATATCCCTTGGAGTCACCTTAGGGTTTACAGGACATGCTTAGGAACATTGCTTCTTGTGATCCTCACTACAATTCCAGAGGCAGAAAAGGAGATCTTAGCTTGATTTTATAGGCAAAGACATTGAGCCTGAGAGAGGTTGGGCAGCTCTCCCGAGGCCACATGACCTACTGGTGTCTTGGTATTCTTCCACAGCTGGAAGAAGCAAGCACCATTGTCTCATGGAATTTCAGCAATGTGTTCCGTACCTGTGTTTAGCTTCCTGTCACTATTGGCACAGAAGAAACTTGGAAATACCGCCCCTGCACCGTGCTGTAGGCTCTACTCTGGGGAAGCAGAATGCAAGGGCTGCCGGGGTAGGCAGCCTCTCTGTACTCCAAGACATTTAGCCTTTGCTGGTGCATGCATGCTTTATTGGCATGTGCTAGGGGATGTACTCGAGAGTTTGCCTTGGGCCCTGCTTCTTGAAGTTCTCTTCCAGAAGTCTCTAGAAGCACCTCTGGCCCTGTGCTCTCTGTCAGGTCAGGCCCCAAGTCTGCCCATGGCAGACCCTCACACCTAGCAGGGGTCTAACAGGTCTAAAAAGCCACTCCCAGGCATCTTTGGACAGGACCAGGTCAGATGGGTGTACCCAGGACAGACAAAACCTCTGCAGAGCAGGGCGATAGTGGCCACTTCAGACTCATCCGGACTCATTCTGGCTCCCTACAGAGGAGTTGTGTTACCTACCGCCTGTCTTAGTCTCTGTTCTATAGCTGTGAAGAGACACCATGACCACAGCAACTCTTAGAAAAGAAAGCATTTAACTGTGGCTGACACCGTTTCAGGGGTTTAGTCCACTATTGTCAGGGCAGTGAGCCTTGAGAATTCTACATCTGGATCTGCAAACAGCAGGAAGAGAGAAACCCTGGACTTGGCATGGGCTTTTGAAGTCTCACACCCCACCCCCAGAGACACATTTCCTCCGACAAGGCCACACCTCCCAATCCTTTTAATCTGTTCAAACAGCGCCACATCCTGGTGACTAAGCATTACAAATATATGAACCTATGGGGGCCATTCTTATTGGAGACACCACACCTCTAATATGCTAAGATAGTGATTAAACTTTAATATGAGATTTGGTGGGGACATGGGGACTAAGCATGGAGATTTCTATCCTCTGGTTTTGCATTCAGTCTAATTCCATCTCCTAGGAGATGGGGGTGATGGGAGGCCTCTGCTCCTCTTCTATGACCTCATAGTGTGGTTTGAACGAGTTGCCACATAGCTGCTCCATCAGTGTCCAGTCTTGGTGAGTGCTCAGTAAATTGTGCTATTTCCACAGCTTTGGTCACTCAGACACTTGGGCCTTCTCCTCAAGGCTACGTACTGTCATTGCTTTTGTTCCTCACCTCAGCTGAAACACAATCTCAGGAGGCCAGGGCTGTAAGGCTGCCTTGCTCAGTGTTGTGTCCTCCTCTCCCACAAGGCTGTCTGGCGCATAGCAAGAGCTTGGTTTGCAGAGTAAAACACAGAAACAGAGGGAGGACTCACAACCCAAGGGGTGAAAATCTTCTGCGGTTGGCTGGAGCTGCGTGGAGATCACCAGTCCGCCATTACGTGAGGGTCATGGAAACAGCTTGGAATGCGAGAGAGGGAGAGTAAAGACAACCCAGTTAAACAGTGGAATAAGGACATGGATTGTGGCTAGGTGGTTCCTCAGTCACCGTACTGAGCAAGGGGTTCAGCGGTTCCTAAGTGAGTCGAGACAGAAAATGACTCCCAAGGCCCGTGTTCAGGGCTCATTCTGTATCGGGCACACGTTTCTGGTTTTTCCAAGCATGGCTTCCCTTACTTCAGGATACGCTTTCTGTTGCCCATGTAGGTGCTTCAAGTAACTCAAGATAGGCATCTCAACCTGGCAAGCTCAAAAGGAAAGGCTCCCACAGCCACTAAGCAACCTCTGTCTGCACTGTGCCTTGCTGTGTGTGGGCTGCCCACAGAGGAAGGGTGGCTTTGTACTCTTCTGAGGAAGCCAAGAACCCGACTTGACCTAGAATACACTAATTGTCAGCTGTGGTCCCCTACTCTAGTCCTCATGGATCTCAGCCTTGAGCAGTGAGGGGAAGTAGGATTTCACATTTGAAAATGTTCCTTACAGCACGGCTGGCTGGTTGTGACTGGAAGAACAGCAGAAGTCAACTAGGAGGGCAGGAGCCATGGAGGATCTGTTGGTTGGGGAAGAAGAGAAAGTCTCTGGACAGAGTTCTAGAGGGAACATGAAGGGAGGGCTCCACAGAGCCCAGGCTAGGCTTCACAGGCAAATGCCCACACTGGGGAGGTGGGCTCAGCCTAGGGACACACTGGGGGCATGGGCTCGGCCTAGGGACACACTGGGGACATGGGCTC